GACCTGATGGTGAAGGTCCGAGAATCCCCACGGCAACTTTTACACAACAATTTTAACATGCAAAAAATGTGTGCTAAAATGGTGCCTAAAATTCTCACGTTTGAACAACAATAAACTCGCAAAAATGTTTGTACTGACACTAAATTCTACTGGAAATAACCGAAACTTAATAGAAAGGATATTAACCTGTGACGAATCGGGGTTATTTACTTATGATCCTGAAATCAAGAACCCATCTTCACTGAGAGCCAAAAAAACTCGAATGAGCAAATCAAAATTCAAAGCAATGATGATTGTTTTTATTTTTATTTATTTATTTATTTTGAACCTCATGGGGTTGTGTACCCTTCACTGGGCTCCTGAAGGTCGAATTATTAATTTGCATTACTTTCTTCACGTTCTTGATGAGCTCCGTGAAAAAACATGGATAAAAGGATACGAATTGTGCAAAGACAAGTTATTCCACATTGTCAGTCCAGAGGTTTCTAGCCAAGTACAGCATCCCAGTGTCAGACCATCCACCTTATTCGCCGGATCTTGCGCTCTGCGACTTCTATCTTTTTCCTAAGGAGAAATCCGCATTAAAAGGAATAAGATTTGAAGCCGTGAAAGAGAAGCTGCACCCGTCCTGATGGAGCTGATATAAGACTTCCAGCACTGTTTCGGACAACGAAAGATTCGCATGGAGCGTTGTAGGGATACAAGAGAGGTGTACATTGAAGGTGATAACAAGTAAATATGCATAAATTCAAAATAAAATATTTTACAGTGTCAGTTGCGTTTTTTTTAATACCTACACCTTGTATGTTTAAATATTCTCAGTAATTTGTTCTAGCCTATGATTTTTATTGCTTATTTCTAGAGATATGTGTTGGCTTTCTATCAACACTTAAAAAAAGTTTCTCCACGGGGGAAGATGGTATGCTGATTAGCTACGTAGCAGATTTTTGACTCACTTTAATGCCTTTTCAAGTATTTTCATTTTTTGAAGTAAAGCATTAATGAGTGTTTAATGCGAGTAATTTTTTTCTAAATTTAATTTGTCTATGTTATGTAAATGTATTTGCATTTCTTTGTATTACAGTATGTAATACACTCCTCAAAAGTGAAATTGCAACACCAAGAAATAATGCATGTAGCGTCATGCAAATTTCAGGAGCGATAGTGGTGAAGTGGATAAGCAAATGATTAAAAAAAAGACAAATAAAATCATTATAAACCAATTTATTCAGTATCTAATGTGCCCACCTCGGGCGGCTATATAAACCTCAATCCTGCCAGCCATTCTATTATTTAGTCTATTGATGGTTGCCCGAGGTAACAGTTGCCAAGACATATCCACTGCTGTGCGCAGATCATCCACGGTTTGCGTTAGTGGTTCTCGGTTCATGTCACGTCCAATGAAGTCCAACAGGTGTTCGATGGGATTCTGATGTGGAGAGTTTGCCGGCCAGGGAAGTATGTCAAATCTAGTCAGGCTGTTAAGAGTTCGCTGTGTGACATACGGCCTGACATTGTCTTGCTGGAATACCGTGTTGGGTGCGCCCTGCAGCAAGTGTGATGGAACATTATGCCACCCCAAACCATTACACCCGGTGTAGGACCTGATTGATGCTCGGCGAAATGGGTTGGTTCGTAGCGTTCTCCAGGTCACCGCCATACCCGTCGACGGCCGTCATTCCTCCAAAGACAGAAACGAGATTCATCCGTGAATAATACCCGATGTCATTCGATGGTCCAGGTACGATGACGATGACACTCCAGCAGGCGTCTAGCCCTGTGTTGAGCGATCAACGGTACCCCTGTTGCTGGTACCCGTACACGTAACTGTGCTTCATGCAATCTGTTGCGTATGGTTTGGGAGGAAACAGATCCACCTGCTCCTGGAGGCAACTGGCTTCGGATGTCCCGTGCCGCGGAGAAAGGGTCTCGAATTGTCAATTGTGAAATTCGCCGGTCTGTGAGCTCAAGCGTATACCTGTGAGTACCACTTCCTCTTTGGCGTGCACGTAGACTTTCCTGAATCCATCGTGTGACCACAACGTTGAATGGCTCTCACGTTGTACCCAACACAAGATGCTATTGTGCTCAGCGACAAATCCAGTTCATGGAGTTCGATAATACGATCACATCCCTCGGTCGTTAAATGATGTTATAGAGATCGCCAAAGTCTCAGAAGCATTTTCTACGCTACTTCGAAAGTTGCAAATGCTACGCAAAACCACAGATGCTGTTTATGAAAAGGGAAAGTTGCTGCCCTTTATAGCCCGAATATGAGTACCACGTGATCAGATGCTTGCTCAAATTTAATCATTTGCTTATCCATCTCACCACTATCTATCCTTGAAATTTGCATGACGCTACATGCATTATTTCTTGGTGTTGCATTTTCCCTTTTGAGGAGTGTATAAATACACGTGGAGTGTTATACTTGGAAAATCTTGATTTTTCTCTTTAGTTACTTAATTTTAGTTTTTGATTTTTTTCCTGCTTTTGATTCTTCAAGGGGATTTGTTTTTTCGTTTGTGTTTTTTTTTTTTTTTTTTTTTTTTTTTTTTTTTAATTTTTTTTATTTAAATTTTGTTGTTATAACCATTATTTATTAATATCTTCTGTTGATGAGGATAGTTAGCCCTACAATTCTAGAATAACCCTGCTAAAAAGTCTGAAATATGTTACAGCATTAAATATATTATTCTCTATTTTTGCTATTTCAAAATATTTTATGGTGGTTTTTTTTTTTAACTTTTTCAAAAGAAATATGCAATTTTTTCTTATTTCTTGATGTTTTATTTATTTTTCTACTTTTCTTTATATATATATATATAAAAAGAGAGAGAGAAAAAGTCATTGTCAGAAAAGTTATGTATCTATGGCTATAACTTTTGATTTGTTACCCGATTCTCACTTTTGTTGTGTCTGAAAACTACATATACCCTCTATGCAATACATTATTCCTTTTTATACCTAGTTTTAACCCCTTTCTACGCAGGCGTGACTTATCGGATAGTCTGTTGGAGAATTCCGGTGGTTGTTGCCAACACCAGACTTTAATGATAGCTTTCACCTTCTCATGAGAGCAAATTGTTTCGTTAATGTTACATTGAGAAGCAACACGAAGACTATTAGTGACGGAACTCGCAATTATGAACCGTGATCAAGTGATGAGGAGCTTCCACACCACACCAACCGGAGGATTTAGGTCCTCGACAGTATAACGTGCATCAGTCCTTTTACACGGTGGGTCTTTAGCAACAGAGCTCGAACCCACAACTCGACGAAAACATTTGCTGCGAGTCCGGGACTATGATTACTAGGCTACCTCGGCCTTATCATCAGAACTAAAATGATGTCCTTTAAAGGGTTCTTTTATGTTTATGAGAAGGTGAAAGCTCCTAGATCGGGTTCAGTGACGCTCACTGCTTCATCCTTATCTCCATGTGTGAGTCACCCTCTTCAGTTCTCAGCACTCCAACTACACCTAGGAACAAAGGATACAAATGCAATACAGTTGCAATACAAACTTTGAAAATAAGGTTACAATGAAGTTATGGACATGGAGGCATTTCTTGTCTCGTCTCGACCGTGTGTATGCGTAACATTTTGTTTCTTTTTTGCAAAGAAGTTATATTACTTTGACAATTTTGTTTTTCCCTCCTTATCAAAAATTTTCTTAAAACTTTTTATTCTGATGAAGCATTTTTTTTAGTTTAATCTAAATAACAATTCAGAGTTCATTTTTTTTATTTCTAATAATTACTTTGAACTGAATTGAGAAAGGGAATTGTTACCTTTTGATTAGTTTAAATGAAAGGTTTACAAAGATAATCAATTGGGAAATGCTGAAAAAAAATTCAATGCATTAACGTAGAACTTGTTAGTACAGATCCGTAATACTTCGTTTCAAAAATAACAATGCAAAAAAAAAAAAAAAAAAAAAAAAAAAATGACAAACAGTGGCGATTTTACCAAGATTAAAAGCTCACAAATTTAATAATGCCCGTCCGACTTAAATTACCCTTTTACCTTTCCAAATTATCCAAAATCGAGTTCTCCACAAAGTGAATAAATCTACCTAAGGACTATCATCTTCTCTTGACCTATTTAGAAAATGAACCGGCTGCTTAAAAGAACTAACTGTAATCAAGCTTATTTTTTTCCTGAGTTTTCGGTATATATTCAGAGAATTCTGCTGCTAAGATCGCTTTGAAAAGGTAATAGGTAAACCTGATCATAGATATCTATGGCGGCTATGATTTATACAAGGTCGATGTCGAATACTTGGTTAGAAGATTACAGGTCATTTTAACAGCGATCTGAACGAGGACAACGATTCTTCGGATATTTGGCTAAACAATCGGTGAAAAACCGAAGGTAGAAAGAAAAGAAAGAAAGAAAGAAACGAATGTTGCGGAGTAAGAAAAAAGGTAAAAGGAGAAAAAAATTATACGTTTAGAAGTTGTAAAATATTATGCTTAAAATTCATTTAGGTGCATAATCGTACGTATCATTAATTTTCCACCTATCAATTCTTAGAAAACGTGAGTTTTAAATGCGTGTCATGCAAAGTTTATGACGTATAGCGTGAAGTTCGGGTTTTTTTTATTTTTTTATTTGATTTATGAAAGAAGCTGATTTTTTTTCATTTTAATGTTTGGTTTCATAACGGGAGTAGTTTTGGCAACAATATGACATTTTAAGTATACTTCAGAAACGTCACCCAGATAACAAGCTATCTGCATAGTTTTACACTTCATTGATTTTTACTTTATTTAAATTTTAGATACATAAGTAAGTAGATACATTCGATTTCTTCAGAAACGGAATTTTACCAGATACATTTTAAAGAATTACTTAGTGTAATCGTACAAATATATGCAATTCACTCTGAACACTGTAACATCTTGAAGACAGATTTTAAGTTACTTATAAATGCATTTCTATTCTGAAATGGTTATGATTAATATCGAACTTGTTTCCTCTTTTGAGTTGATATTGTGGCCTCGGTAGCCTAGAGGTTATGGTCGCGGATTCACGATCGACGTTGTTTTCGTCGAGTCGTGGGTCACTAAAGACCCACCACGTAGCGGGGCTGATGAACGTTAAATTTGCCGAGGTCTCAAGTCCTTTAGTTGGCATGATGTGAAAGTTTGGAAAGAGAGGTATCAGCTTAGGTGTCGTCCTCGTCACTTGATCAAGGTTGAAAATTACGAGATCCGTCACCAATTGCTCTCGTGTTGCTTCTCAGTGCAGCGTTAATAATCAATCATTCATACTCCCATTTGAGTTGATATTGATAATTTGAATCAAACTTATTTATTACAGGAAACTTAACATGAATTATTCGTAAACATCCATACTGATGAATTTTTTAAAAGTTGTTGTTGATGGTGAATTGATTTAACATTGTTCCTGAGCTACATGATGGCTATTGATGATAATTATCGTAATTTAGAACCTCTCAGTCAAATGATGGAAGAGACTCTTGATTTAGTGTTTTGTTCTCCTAACTTCTTCACCATACCACATGAAGATTGTGAAACTCAGTTTCATTTAACGTGCCGCAACCTTCATCATTCCACACGACGGAACTTAAGAGGAATAAGGCTCGAATCCGCGAAACTCCTTCATTTGATTTGCTACTATGGACTTGCTTGAAGCTCATAGGTACGAACACGCTCTACGTCACTACGGCTCACAACCTTTCCACAAAAAACCGGCCCCTACTTAGTAAATACACGGATTTCCGCTGGGTTTGATTTAGGTTGCCTTCATTTAATTCTATAAAGATCAACAAACTCGGAAAAACTATTTCGGGTAGATAAATTCCCATTCTAAGTTGTTAGATTTGTAACTCTTTCTTCCTGATGAATCACTGTTTGTTTATTGAACGTTTCTGGCTGTATTTTTTATGCTCAACTCAAAGATCCACTATGCAAAGTTTTGAGCAGCGGTCAGATGACGAGGTCGACATCTGAACTAGTACCCCACCTTTTTCAGTTAGCTAAAGAGCGGACTTTGAGCCCAGGCAAATTTAACGTGCATCAGCCCCAGTTCACGACAGTCTTAGGAAAGTTAAGAACCGAACCATGACTCGTCGATTATGAGTCCGTTATGTTAAGAATCAAACCTCCATAGTCTCCCTAATGTATCTTTAAGTTTTTAAAATATTCAAAAAACACAACTTATACGAAGTTAAAGGCGCAACTAAGTTATACAGCCTTTTGGTATTAAAGTAAGTGACGAAATATGGAGTCAATTGCTATTGTTTACACATAAAAAAATGTTTAATTCAAGTAGAAAGGAGTTATGTATAAAATTATGCTGCTCCTCTCAATGATGGTAAAGAATAAATGAAGAAAAAGCCTATTTAGGGTTCTGGTTTTTGTTGAGCTTGGAGAAAGGGTCCCAAGAACGAAGCGGAACTCAGGATGAGCAAATTATATCTTGACTATAATATTCCTTACCGTTTTCTCCTTCCTTAATATTTGAGTAAGAATCGACTGGATAGAACCGGAAGACATCCGTAGCAACTTTTATAGAAAAAGAATGAAAAGAACCAACAAAAACTTTCATTTAAGCAAATATTTCGAAATCTTAGAGAACATCCCGACCATAGATATAATAACCAGTTGAACAAAAAGCAGGAGATAAGAATTACTTAGCATTCGATTCATCAGTAAAACTGTCGTAACTCGTCGACTTTTACTCAGATTCAGCTTACATAATAATGCAATGTGTAGTATCTATAACCGTATAAATGATTTGGAATATATTCCTTTGACTTACAATAAATATGCCTTCCATAGAAATTACCTCTGGAATATACTCAAGATAGATCCGCAGTGAGTGAATGTAAAGTTTATTGGAGCAAGAGTCACATATGGCTATGCTGCGCCAAACAAGATTAAACTGTGGTCTAGACGTGAAGTTGAAAAAAAGATAAGCAGTGGTTGACATGAATGAGGGTCGAAAACAGAGAAGGATCGCTAGGGTATCCCGGGAGAGCGTAACCCTTGTTTATCAAAGACAGTAAACCCCATGGGGGAAAAAAGATCACTAGGGTGCCTCGTGATGCCCGTACCTAAACCCGTACTTATAGGGTCATGATGCCCGTACTTACCTAAAGAAAGTAAGCCCCTGAGGTCCCCTGATATAATCCCCAGTGGCAGGGTGCCCGGTTATACCCCCAGACGCTGGGTACCCATTTTAGTCGCCTCTTACGACATGCATGAGCTGCAGTGGGACTATTCTGTCATTCCCGGTCACCTCACGGGTCAAAATAGATCCACAACGCAATATTACTTTTGGAAAAAACAGTAACCAGTAAGCATGTGTTCAGAATTTTCCTACAGTAGTTGAAATACTTTGATATCTACTGAATGAAAAGCCTCTTTTAAAGGAAATAATAGCCTTTGTTGCTCTAGATCCATCAAAAATCAATTAATCGAAAGCCTATTTGAAGGAAAATACTTGAAAAAGAATCTTATTTTCAAAACTTCCGCATGGTGGAGGAATTTGTGATACACTTTAGATTCTCTCCGCATTTGCAAGAACTATTATTCCTCATAACAGTCGTTGGAACTTTATTTTAAATTACCTCTGTACATAACCAACACATCAACTATTTATTGGAAATGCACTCCGTAATTTCTAGTCAAGGTGAAAAGAACGACAAGGACACATGGCTAGTTCTTCACTCGTAATTCTTCCACTCCATATTTCGTAAAAGCTTTCGTCAGGTTTAATTTGACGTGTCTCAGTCACCTTAAGTTCGTAGATAGTATTAGGTGGAATCAGGATATTAGTCCCCGACACCACTCAAATTCATCATGACCTCGAGGTTATGACTTGAACTTTCAAGCTATCTTGAGTTCTAGTCTTCATGAAAGAAAGTCGAATCTCAAACTCAGTCTCCCTTTATTAAATGGTAATCCTGCTGAGTAGTTTATCTTAATCTTTCTAATTAAGTAGTTTGAATTAATATCAAAGTTAAAGGAGAGCGAGGTGCCCTCTTAGATGTCACTATCATCACTTGACTGTGGTTCAATTGATTCATACCTAAACGTCGCCCTTAGAAGCAACGGGAAAATTATTGGCGACGAACTTCGAAATTTTGAACCTTCTTCAAGCGACGAAGACCTGAATTGGCCCTCCCTCACCAAACTTTCACACCATACCAAAGGGAGAACTTGAAGCCTCGACAAATTTAACGTGCATCAGCCTCACTACACATAAGAAATGCATTTAGGGTTATCAGCATTCGAATCCACGACTAGATGGAAAGAACGCCGGTTGTGAGCTCGTGATCATTCAGCTGCTGTGGCCACTGACTGTGGTTCAAAATAACAAGGTCCGTCTCTTATAGCTTGAATGTGTCTTTTATAACAATGCTAATAAACATTCAATCAATCGAATTAATATAGTTCTTTTCACAAGAAGTATTGGTAACGGCTTTGGTAATTCTGAACTACGATTAAGTGATGAGGACAATACCTAATTTGATATCGCACATTCCTAACTTTCACACCACACTACTTGATGACCTTGTTGCGCGTTAAACGGAAACAGGCAACGTTTCATTCATTCCACAAGAGAAGTCTTTCATAGATTCAAATCGAGAAATCGGCAACGTAAACTCTCTAGCACAACCAATGGACTGAAGAGAATAGCCTATGTTCCTCAATATTATGTACCTAATAAACAAGCCAATGGGATACCGAGACCTTCTGACAAAGGACTGGTTGGTTTTATTAACGTCGCTCTAGAAACAGCACGAGGGCTATTGGCGACAGACCTCGTAATTTTGAACCAATCAAGTGACGAGGACGACACCTAAGCTAGCACCTCCCTCTCCTAACTTCCACACCATGACAGACTTAACATGCATCAGCCCCAACTACACGGTGCGTTTTTAGTGGCATCGAGGCTTGAACCTACAACTCGACGAAAACCACCGGCCTCGCGTTCGATGCCATAACCACTAGGCTACTGCGGCCACTCTGATAAAAGGCAAATAACTATCAAAGTATACATTTATTTTTAAGCAGTGTTAATATGTTGTAAAGGTTTAAATAAAACAGTTACCTCTTGTTGAAATAACTCAATATTATTCCTAACAATAAATATAATTAGTTACAACAATTTTGGCCCTAACTTCTTTTTATTTCTTTATTCTAAAAAAGAAGCGATATATATAATAGCAATTCATGTATAAAAGATACAATTAATAATAAAAATATAATGGACGAGAAACGTATTATTTTTGTAAACACTTTATTTAAAAATATTTTTTCTAACTTGATCAAAACTACTCTGTCTTTCTAAACTTGCGAGTTTTAGTAAACAAGAAGTAATTAAAGTTGGTTTAATAAGTCTCAGAGTCCATATTCCTAAGAAACCTAAAAAATCCTTAATTTTCTTAAAGAAAACGCATTTCACTGCATTTATTTCAGTTTTACAAGAGCTTTCTAAATATTTTCCTGACAAAACAAACTTAGCAGTTAGATTTTTAATTAAGGATTCGCAGAAAAAATCAATATTTCTCTTAATTAAGCTCTTTTGATGTGAGCTCCATCTATTCGCTTAATCGAAACAGAGCCCCGTGTATATTTTTTTTTCGAGCCTATGTCATCTTCTATAAGGGGAAGAATACAGAAAAATATTACCTACTACACGAGTTGAAGTTTAACATTGATTTTTGACTCGATAAATCTGTCACAGTTTCTCTTTTTGACAACTATTAAAAAGGAAAAATAATATGAGACAGCGTTCTGTCAATTCTTTACACATAGAGCCTTGTCACCATAGTCACCTGATTTTGTTATACTAATGAAATAGTTTTAAAGCAACGTAAAACATCACAAAAATAATTTCTCTGGAAAATTTAATGTTTTTTATCACAACATATCGTTTTTTTTAAATTGAACATTTACTGACCGAAGTATGATTTGTTTTTCTTAACACAATTAACAACACATTCGAGATGCACACTTAGTGGAATCGGAAATCGAACCTGCGGCTCGATTTGAACCTCACCGGTCACGACACTCGTTTGTTTGTTTGGTTTTATTAACCTCGCACTGGGAGAAACA